AATCCATTTTTGTGCAAATTCAACAGACACTTCCGACAATACTGCTCTGTTCTCTCATTCACACAAACTGGGTATTCATCGACCGGATTACTTGCCTCAAATGGGCACTCAGAGTTGCTAAATAGTTCGGATGGGGGTGGAGTTGCTCTGTGTCAAAAAGGGGCAAAGAACAAGGAAGGGACACGAATCCATCAGGGAAATGAAAGTTGAACTTATTCACTGAGACAAAATAGTGAGGTCTGAAAAGCCAATGCAAAAGGACAGACTGCTTCCCAGCCCCCAACCCGGCCCGTCTGCCAGAGACAGTGTAGGAAGTGACCCGGATGCTGCCACAAGTGCAGACCACTCCAGAGGATTCTATCCAGCAAATCCATACAGACAGGCTTCCCTTCCAAACACAGCATGTCCTTTTCATCCCCATTTTGATTATACCTGGTCTACATTTCCCTTGGGGAAAAAGGTCTTCAGGTGGGGTCAAAAATCTCACAAAATGAGCAGGGAACTGTTCCATAACTGTAACAGACTCCAGGTTGAGAGTTTGTTTGTTTACATTGAGACAAAGTCTCACTATGGGACCCAGGCTACCACGCACCTCCCAATCATCTTGCCTCAACCTGTAACATGCTGAGATTACAGGCATGTATTACCATGCCTAGCCCCAGGTACAGTTTTAAGGGTGGTTAAACCTGATGCCTGTTTTTTTTTTAAAAGCTCAGTAAGAATGCAAGCAAATATTATACTGCAGTCTTGAGGTAATCTCACTGGGCTTAACCTAGAACTAGTAATCAGTAACCACTGGAAAAATATGAGGTTACTAAAGTACCAAACTCTTTTACAGGGGAGAGGCACAAGAGGAGGTGACAGAAAGAGTAGGCAATAAGACATTGCAAAGGTCACCAAGTGTTCACTAACACAATGGTGGAATATGTCAGAAAGAGAGGAGAAGAAAGGAAGGAATGTGAATAGGAAACATTGTCCCCGGATGTAAGTAGCATCGAGAGAAGGGATCCATGTAGATAGGTTCTGGGAAGAGACTGTGGCAAGCCAATGAGAATAAGTATGGTAGAACATATTTTCCAAAGATAGAAGTACTAATGCAGTCCATCGCTGTGATACTAGGTGGAGTCTATGATTCCTCTTGAATCAGTAAGCCTATAGCAACAGCAAAACATGCTATGCACTCACCCAAAGGCGAGATTATAAAAGGTTATACAGTTTCTACCTGGGCCTCTGGGATGTTCATGCTTGGCACCAGCCATAACGCTGTGCGGAAGTTAAGCAGCCACATGGACAGACCACAGTCCCGCTACAGAACTGGCTGAGGGCCCTGTCCATAGCCAACACCAACCACCAAGCAGACAATTCAGGTGAGCAAGCGTTCAGATATTTCCACCCACCCACCTTTGAGATGACACAGAGTGAAGCAAAGCAGAACAGAACCCACCAGGCCCTGTTCAATATCCAAGTTTGTGAGCAAAATCAGAGTCATTATGTCACTATGTTTTAGGATGGTTTAAGTAAGAATCAATAGTTGAAACAGCAGCCTTCAATACTGGAGTCATTTCCTGATTTAGAATAAACTCAGTCTAAAGTTCAGCAGTGAAACTCATTAGACATTATGTTAAAAATGAACTATACATACAGCTTGGGGGAGAGGGTCAGGAGGGAAAAAATATTGGGAGAAAATGAGGGAAGAGGTGACAACTGTTCAAAAAGAAATGTACTCATTACCTGACCTATGTAACTATAACCCCTTTTATAAAAATAAAAGGAGGGGGGAAAGAAATGAGACTTACCTCTCTGCCTTTCGTGGATTTTTATAATTTGGATTGATTTTTTAATTGGTTTTAGCTCTTAACTAATCTGGTCCTACATTGGTTGCACTATGGGATATATTCCACCCGAAAGCCTATATGTGTGCGCACGTTGTGTACACACTTGCTTTGTGCAAATTTGAATTCTTGCCAGTATTTAGCAATCAAATGGCTTACACACACACACACACACACAATCTTTCTTTTGAAAAAATACAAATGGAAAATCTGGCCATATAGAATTTTATTCCCCTGTAGCAGTAACTTCCGCGCAAAAAACTCTCATTTCCACAAGGCCCATTTCTGTCCATTGTACACTGCCTTCTCCACCGAAGCCCCTGCCACTCCTCCGTTTCCTTCGGACATTTAGGTTTATAGCAGCTATTCAGCCAACCGTCTTTACCTGGATAGCTACGGAATGTGCACTTACATAGACAGCCATAGAGAAGTTGGCACCATTTGACAAAAACGAGATGAAGATAATTAGAAATTAAAAGTCAAAATAATAAAATTTAAGGTTCAAGTTTAAAGTGAAATGAGAGGATGATGTAAAATAAAGAGGAAGAGAAGCAAAACGTAACTCAAGATGCATTGACTGGGCTGTCAGCTTGGGTTCCGTCAAACTGTCTAATGCCATTCCTACTATCTGGCTGTTTTACTTCCACAGATGCCCCAGGAGCCAGGGCCTTTTGTTCCATTGTTCCTTGAGAAGTCTGTGCTCACTGGGATTACAGTCTGCTAATAGTCCACATACATACGCTACATCTAAAAATCATACTTATTTTCTGGTTATAGTATTTTAAGACACTTTTTTCAAACTAATGTAAGAAAACCCTCAAATAAATAATTCATGGAGAGAAATTTGATTGGAAAATGGAATCCCTTAGCCTGGATCTTTCTGGAATTAAACTTTTTTAAAACTTATTTTTGATATCTTTCATCTTTTCAAAGAGGGGTGGGGGGGTACACGTGAGCACATGTGCGTGAGTGCCAATCTTATGGTTTGACCTCAGGGCCTGAGTGCCATCCCTGAGCTTTTTTGCTCAAGGCGAACACTCTATCACTTGAGTCATAGCGTCATTTCAGGGGGGTGGGGGGGAGGGAGGTTAATTGGCAGTAAGAGTCTCATGGATTTTCCTGCCTGGGGCTGGCTTCAAACCACAGTCCTCCTATCTCAGCCTCTTGAGTAGCTAGGATTATAGACATGAGTCAGCTGCACCTGGCTTCTTAATGAGGTTTTAAATAAGCTCTCTTCCCAGTTAACCGATTCATTTTACATGTCCTACAATCAATGGGATACCTGAGAAAATGGAATAATAAAGAGTATCAGCCAAGTGATAAAAAAGAGGAAAGTGAATAGCAAATAGAAAATCCTATTTCTTACTCGTTCCATGAATAAGAAAGTGTCCGTATGTATTTTCTCTCACAGTGACATGTGTTTACTACTTTAAGAGAAGTTCCATGTTTCAAAATCAATCTAAAGCACACTTACGTCTTACCCAGTCTTCTTGAAAAACCAACAACTAACAATGTACAAATATTGTGTAGCTATCTAATAAAATCTATTTGTGATGAGCCAATGAACTCAGTATTCTACTCTATCATTTCATATCAAACTGGGTGGGCCTTCTAGAAATTGGCTTCTTTTGACCAAAAATAAAATCACACTAACTTGTAAAGTGCACTCTGATGTATAAGATTACCACTCTACAGACCATGTAAAGATAGTTTAGGGGCATAGTACCCTCTTCTATTTACAAAGCAAATTTTTAAAAAAAAAACAACTTTGAATTAGGTATGTAAGTATTGTATGTCTACTTATATATAGCAGTCAGCTCGTAAGCTCTGTGTTTGCTATCAAATTCTTGGTTGAGAATTTCTAAGAGGTTGCAGGAGAATGTATATAATGTATATAAATCATGACGTCAGTAGAGTGTATTCCTCATAAACCTTTATTTTATTGAGGCAGAGTACTGATTTGGGGAGGAAACGATTGATTTGTAGAAAAGCAGACAATAAGGCAGCTTTGAACTTTTTATTACTGTCACTTTGTTTCTAGCCAAAGTCAATAACTCAGTGCCAGAATCAGAGTTCAAATGCCAAATCGAACTTAGAACTCAGGAGTAAAACTGCTATAAAATACACACACACACACACACACACACACACACACACACACACACACACACACACACACACACACACACACACACACACACACACCCTGGAATCCACGGAGAACATTTTAATTTTAACCCAGGCTGCAAGACAATATACCAGAACAAGTGACATTTTCATCTAGCGTTTTAGCAGAGGGTACTGGGGTGGGACGAAGATTGATAGCTCACAGAGAGTGTACATTCATAACCATCCAAATGTTGGTCAGGATCAAAGATGTCCAGGAAACCTAGGAATCTAATTAATTATTCTGGTCATTGCATAAAATTTTTCTAAGCATAAAGACACCTATGAACAGGCAACTCTGCCACGCCAGATCCCTGGCAGCAAAGCGGTAGCAAGAGATTGAATTAATTTCCCTACTTATTAAAGTAAGTTAAAAATACGTTGCTACTGAATGAAAGCTTCTGCTTCGGGGACCTGAGACTACGAAGCTCTCTTCATCTGGCTACATAGCTCCCAGAATAACCAACTTCCTAAAGACATTCTTAAGGTCCCTTCATTCATCTCGGGACAGTGTAAGGACATCAGGCCAGTGCCCAGGGGTTCAAAAATAGCCCAGGACTGGGCGAGGGGGAGGGGGTCCTTAGATTCACAATGCTCAACAGCAAGAATGGGAGGTGCTAACGTTTTCTGGTCCCCACTCTTCCCTGCCCTAGGACTCCAAAGTATGGGCATCCCACGAAAGGCTGAAGGGGGTCGGGCATGAGGGGTGTGCTCCTGAGGGTGGGGGTCTGGTGCGGGTGAAGTGGGGACAGGAAGGTGCCCAGAGAAAGGAAACCTAAGCTGGCCTCAGAGCGCTTGGTTTCCCGGGGAGGCAAAAAGCCCCGATGGAGCAGCGCTTAGGGAGGCGGGGAGCCCGGGGGGTGCCTTGGGCTCCGGGGTACAGGCAGCACCCTATCTGATCGCCAAGGTAGGGGTGCGCAGGCCAAGATGATGCCCAGCCCGTGGTCCCCGGGGCGCCCCGCACCCGTGCTCTTTCGGCGGGGCGAGCCGGCCCGCGCTTACCTGGAGGTAGGGTCTCCCGTGGGCCACCCCGGCCACGACGATGTCGGCGGAGACCATGGTCCCGGTGGGCGAGAAGCCGAAGCCCACGTAGCCGGCGGTGCGCACCTCGAGGCGCACGGCGAGCCGGCTGCCCCGCTGGCCCCAGCCCAGCCAGTACTTGCCCTCCGCGTCGAGGAGCGTGCGGTGCGGGAAGGAGCGGCCCGAGCCCCCCGCCGGCGCCCCGGGGAGCAGCCCCCACAGCAGGAGCAGCGGCCAGCCGCACATCCTCGGCGCCTCCTGCCCGCCGCCACCTGGGCTCCAGGCACTGGGGAGCGCGGGGCGGCACGCGGAGCGGGCGGCGGGGCGAGCCCGAGGTCTGGGACCGCCCCTGGGGCGGCCGCGCCCGGCCCCCGGCCCGCCCTCCCGCGCTTCCCGCCCCGGGCCCTGCGCGCCGCCCCGTCTGGTTGTATCTGGTCGGATCCCCTCTCCTCGCCAGTCCCACCATACTCAGCCTTTCCCGGGATCCACCTGCCGCCCCCCGCCCTTGGCTGGGTCCTTGAGTTGGATGAGCAGGATTGCGAAGGGGTCCCCCCAGGTCAGGGATGCAGCGTCTCCTGAGTCTCTTTTCCTGGGGCCCCCAAGTCTTACAGGGCTGGGTTTGGCTTCCTTTGGTTGGGTGGTGTAGGAATAAATTTTACCCAACTCTTGTGCCGTCGTAGTCGGGGTTGATTTGCAATAAAAAATCTTATTTTTTTTCTTTTATTTATCCCCCTTGATCGTTTTGTTTTGTTTCCTTTTTGACGACCTTGGACCATCGCACTGTCTTCAGAAAGCGCCACAGGGCATTTGACAACTCTAAATTTTAACCTACGTGATCCACTAGGGTTAGCTAGCCATGGTTCAGAGAAAAAGTTCTAGGTAGCTTCTAGCATACCACTTCGGCCTCGTTGGCCTCGCTGGGTATCCGGTGACAATTATGGATGAAAGGAACACTACCTGTGTGTGCTATTTACTCTGGAGTCTCCACAAGGCCACCTGCGCGTGTATTCTTGCTCTTTAGTCCTAGTTCGGCCTGCTTTTTTTGTTTTGTTTTTTCTTACTCCTGTTTTCTCCCTCCATGTCTTGTCCCCTGTCTATGACAAAGTTACCAACATGATTCTAACTTTTTGTTCTTCTCCGGATTAAGCACGTTTAGTCATGTGAAGGAGATAAGTAGAGCATGGGAGTTACCTAAAATGGCCAAGATCTGCAGAATGAAACCAGAGGCAGAAGGTCAGCATTCAAGAACTGATGCTGAACCCTTGAGAGCAGGTGAAAAATCACAGGGCCCGAGATACAGCTAAAAGACTGAATGATTGAGAGTATAGATTCTACCAGATTCTTCCACTCCAAAAAAACCTGCAGGGCAGGTATCAGAGTCAGCAGTGTTCTGCTATCCAGAGACAGCAAACAGTGGCAGGTTTAGAACTGTGTTCCTACAAACAGCAGGACTTGGTTGAGCCATGAAGAGAAGGGGAATATGGAAAACAGAACAAAATGGTGGACACCAAGGCCAAGAGGAGTTGATAGTGATACCACAGGAGAGACACTCATGTCTCTCAGCAGCCTCTCACTCTACTGGGCAGGGTTTGGGGACATTTAAAGTACTTCCAGTTACTCAAAACCCCTCCTAGCATGGATGAACCTGAACATCAACACATCACTGCTATCTGCTTTTCTGGGATCCCTTACATAAGCCCCAAATTCACATGTATCAGTACATTGTCTATTTGCTTAGGAAAATCAAATGACATCATACCTTCTAGAATATGATCCTCACTTACTATTTTGAGTACACGTTTCATCACTTTCCTGACACTCATGGATTGACCTGGAGATGCATGAACACTACCTGCAGACCCTCAGTGGAGAGCCATGTCCTTTCCCATCACACACAGTCCCCTTCCCAACACAGTCCTTTTCCAGATTGTGTGCTTTGTCAGGTTTATCTTACTCCAACCTTAGAACCTTTGAAATGTCTTCAGATCCTCTTTTCACACTGCATAGCCTGCTGGCCTCAGTTGATGCACTCTGATGCAGTAGTGCCAGGAATCTTCTGTCCAGATGTCCCGTGGCACCAGGATGTGTCAGTGCTCTGCTTGGCTCAGCACTTGCTTTTCTTCAGAACCGTTTTTGGGTCAGGAACCACATCTGGTGCTTGGTTTTATCTCCCCATCTAGAATAGAGAGAGCACACAATAGGTGTCTCTTTGTATTTGCTCGAGAATGGATAGCTGCGTGTGCTGAGTGTACTAGAAGCATTCTCTCAACCAAGTTGGAACACAAAGGAAAAGTTTGGGCCCCAGATGTGAATCTTCTGCTCTGCATTAGTATTGAGGCAAAAATAGAAAAGACCACACACAACTACATAAAAGAGAAAGTTTTAAACTGTTTTTATTCATTAAGATCACTGTCTTTTCGTGTGAGTGCGTTAAATCTAAATGCCCTGAATATTCAAGAAACATTCGAACTAATGTATTTATCCTAAGATTAGATCAACAAACAACATTTTTAGTGTAATTGATACTCAAGAGGCCCATTCTATTTTGGTTTGGAGTAACCCAGTAATTCAAGACAAACTGTAAAAAATGTATCTTGTGTGCTTTGTAAACTGCCCGAGCTCCCTGGATAAAACCAGTTCTATACTTCAATGGCACACAAGACTCCATTTCCCTACTGTATTGCTATTTGTCTTTATTTTGTTAGGCAAGCAGGAAGAAGGCTGGAGGTGTGGTTCAATGGAACAGGAACTGCTTAGCACATGTAAGGCCCTGGGTTCAATGTTCAACACTGGCAAAAGAAAAGGGAAATCATTAGAAAGGGAATGGGACAGAGAAGAAGGGGTGTGTTTTAGAGGTGAGAAAAGAGAAATAGAACGAAAGCAAAGACCCATGAAAAACTCAGAGTATATGGCAGAGAGAAAATAAAATCAATGGCAAGGTTTTCAAATTTATTTTTTAAACTATTGTTTTTGTAAAAAGTGAAATATGCTTACTTAAAGAAAAAAAGCCAAGACATTTTTAAGCATGAATAAGAAAGTAAACTAAAACAAAACAAAACAAAAATCTTAAAATCCATTGGCCAAAAATAACCCTTGTATGCATTCCTGGAACATCATTCCAAAACCCAGTTCCATTAAAGCCTTGAAGCAACTGGCTCCCTGGGCAAAAATTTACAAAGAAACAAATGAATTAAATTTTTAAGGCTCCACTGGAAATAAACAGAGTGACTGAAAACACAACCAGCTATCATCATATTTGTGGGGGCGTAAGGGACTTCTTTTCTCCCTGTATCCTTGAAACACATGAATAGACAAAAAAAAAATCAAACAAACAATAAATAAAGCTAATAATTCAGTGAGATCCTACAAACAGTTCAGAACATTCAACCAAATTACTCATTCTTAAAATGAATCATTTCCTCACACTTTTCAATCAGGGATTTCAAATGTAGTATTTATTTTGAGTCCGTGTCCATTCTGATACACAACTTGCAATCAGTCAGTGTGACTACACCCAAGCTGAACTTCCTCACCTCCAGCCCCTATGTTGCTAAGTTTATTTATATTTCCACATTAGTCAACTGAGAGGGGCTGGGAAAAGGAGGGTAGGGAAAAAAGGAAACCCTGCAGACAGTCAGATGGAAGCAAGCCAATGCAAAGTTGCTCAGTAGGAACTATGGTGGTTTGAAGTAGGTTATTTCTTCTTGGGAGGATCATAATTTTCCTGTCTGCTTGTACCTAAGGTGCAACATTAACACTAAATATTTATAAAGTTCCCGTGTTCTAAGGAGTGCAAAGAAAAATATTTAAATAAGTGACCTCAGCAGTCCTTCAACATTCAAATCAGGAATCTAAAGCATTTTCTCACTTTATAAACTAAGCCACTTGTGTGCATAGGTAAGTGGTTCAAGAACATACTGAGTCATTGGCAGAAAAGATAAAAATGGAATTTGAGTTTTTCCCTCTCCTTTTCGAAACTCTTAGCTTGCACCACATCACCAATAAAATAATAATGTCTTTTTATGAAAGCCACCACATCATCATCATGAAACATTCTATCATCATGGCTAATATTTTGCTCATAAGCAAGATGCTATTGATGATTTACTAGTAGAGTTAATTTTATAATCCTCATTTTAATAAAGGATTCCATCATTGATGTCAGGGTTGTGGATGTGAAGGAGAGGAGATAGTCTTACTAGGAAACTCGGCTATGCTGAGTTCTTAAAATTTCCTTTTGGAATGATGTGCCAGGTAGCACCCACTCTTGATCTGTCATGGGCAAATCACTCTTAAGCTTTTCCTTTAGGTAATCCCTGCAGAAAAAGCTGCACTTTTAGTATTATCTATAAACTATACTCTGAAATAAAACTGTTTTGAATGCAAAATGTCTGTAGATGTTAACAAACAAGGCTCATAAAAAAGTCACTAATGTTATCTCTTAGAATTATAGGAAAGCTCAGAGGTTATCAGCAATGTCATAGGGAGAACAGGTTTACTGTTAAGCCATGCTTAAGAAATCATCTGGAGGGCTTAAGGTGCCTTAGAGGTGTGTTGTGATCTGAGTGATTTTTTTAAGATAATAAAAATATCTTTAGGTGAGCTCCTCTCAGAATGATCTTTAAGATAAGAAAACTACCCAGCCTCCTATTTTGGGAAATCTCATTTCTAGAGAGGATGAAGCAACTGAAGCTCGAAGTGACTATAGGAGGAGAAAAGATGTTGAGTAATAAAATTGTGCAAGATTATTCATGGGACTGTCAGCTTTGCAAAGAACTTTAGAGACCTTCTTCCAAGTTCTTATCTTGTAGAGATCCAAGCATGTCTTACAGAGCAGTGAACTGTTATAGGCCACCATTTCACAAGCAGCAGGGAGGTGGGCTACATGACAGAGTTTACACCAACCTATATGCCTCTGTACTTCGAGGAGACTCTTACGTGCACCATGGGTCTTGTTTCAAGTGGACACATTGGGAGAAAGAACAGAGAGGAACTGTGAATAAAGTATTATGCCTCAAGCCCAGGACTCCTCAGAAACCCTCCTGTTGTTATATGGCACTCATTAACTTTGTCACTTTTATGCCTCTAGGGTCATCAATCGTATTTGGGATGAACAATCTGCACAGATTCACAGCCAAAAATGAATTTAACTCCACCCTAAAAATGATGAGCAGAATCAGCACAAATCACTTGACTCCAAACCTCCATGATTGTTTGGACATTTTGAAGAAATCTGAATGAAATAACATCAAAGAACATAAATATAAGAATTTAAGTATCCCCAAACTTAATCGAAGTCTCACAACCACTCCTCATCGTAATAAACGATGCAGTTTGGAATAAGAAGC